TACCTGGTGAAAGAAATAGACTTACAAGTTCAGGAAGCTCAGAGAACCCAAAACATAAGGAATCCAAAGAGGACCACACCAAGACACATCATAATTAAAATTCCAAGGGCAAAAGACAAAGAGAAAATATTGAAAGCAGCAAGAGAAAAATAGCTAATTACCTACAAGGGAGTACCCATATGACTATCAGCTGATTTCTCAACAGAAACTATGCAGGCCAGAAGGGAGTGGCAAGAAATATTCAAAGTGATGAATAGCGAGAATCTACAACCAAGATTACTCTACTCAGCAAAGCTATCATTTAGAATTGAAGGGCAGATAAAGAGCTTCACAGACAAGAAAAAGCTAAAGGAGTTCATCACCACCAAACCAGTATTATATGAAATGCTGAAGGGTATTCTTTAAGAAGAGGAAGAAGAAGAAAAAGGTAAAGATAAAAATTATGAATAAGTACATATCTATCAACAAGTGAATCTAAAAATCAAGTGGAAAAAAAATCTGATGAACAGAATAAACCTGTGAATATAACAGAATCTGGGTATAGTAAGGGAGTGGACTGACAATTCTCGGGGGGAAAAGGGTCTAGGGGGTGCAGGAAGAAGGGCAGAGGGTGGGGTGGGAACTGGGTGGAGGGGAGCTATGGGGGGGAAAAAGAGGAACAACTGTAATAATCTGAACAATAAAGATTTAATTTAAAAAAAAAAAAGAGAGAGAGTCTTCTGGGAGAGAGTGTCAACTTGTGGAATTGGAACGTTCAGTGTTTTGAGAACCCAAGCACCAGAGATCAAAGAGGGACAAAATCCATGGAAACCCAACCCGCAGTAAAGGGGAGTCAGAGAAGAGACAAGTGCTTTACCTTTTGATACTGCATCCCTAGCCTTTGGCTTGAGTTTTTGGTGACGCTTAAAGACAAAAATGTTAGAGTGTGAAGTTAGGACACTTTCCATTTTTATATCCAAAATGAGACAAAAATATAAATTTCCAAATCCTGTCTATGTATGTCTGTATTTAATGCACTCACTTATATTCCCTACCTCTACTCCACCCTTTCACCCCAACATTTTATTTTTCTACTTATTTCTCACTTCAAGTCTCTCCACATTCCTTACTTCCTGTTCCCTTTCTTAGGACAGGTTCTTTAGAGGGCTAAGTATGACACAGGCGCAATACTGAAATAAATTAAAAGGTGATGGTGATTAGTTTTAACAGCCCTAGGACTTTTGCTTACTAAGTCCACCCACCAGAAGAAACCCCCATATTGGGATGTCTTCTGAGATCCAGTGAGATAGATTCCATTTTACCTAGGTCTCAACCCAAGGTAGACAGAGAGGTTCTTGATCTTTCCATTAAAATACACTGCAGGGATTGCTTAGTAAGAAATTACTTCTAGCCTTAACGGGTTTGGCTCAGTGGCTAGAGCGTCAACCTGCGGACGCAAGGGTCCAAGGTTCGATTCCGGTCAAAGGCATGTACCTTGGTTGCGGGCACATCCCCAGTGGGGAGTGTGCAAGAGGCAGCTGATCGATGTTTCTCTCTCATCGATGTTTTTGACTCTCTATCCCTCTCCCTTCCTCTCTGTAAAAATTCAATAAAATATACATTTTAAAAAAAAATTACTTCTAGGCTCTGAGAAAAGCACCATATTAGAGTAACTGAATGTATAGTATAAAAATCGGCAAGAAAGGTAAAAGGAGGCTCTGAGATCTTAAAAAGCTTCTCATCTAAAACTTAACTAGTTCAATTACGGTGTTATTATTTCCTTACCTGGTAGCAGCTCCTTTTAGGTTCCAACCTTAACCCATAGTAACTCCTCTTTACTTGCCAGATAATTAGGATAATAAGGAAGATGGCACCATATGTATATAAGAAATATCCAACACTCCGAAGAACAAAAGTAACGCTCAACATGGCTTTAGCATGAGGGGAGGAGCCATCCCTATATCTAGGCGTTCAGGATCCTCCTGTCTAATGATTCCCAATGCTCTGCCTTGTCACCTCCACCTCATAGAGAATAGAACCTGGTCACCAGACTGCATCACAAAGCCCTTCTGTTTCACAAGGCAGGCGTCGTGTCAAAGACTTTAAAAATATATATATATATCTTATTGATTTTTTTTTTTTTTTTACAGAGAGGAGGGAGAAGGATAGAGAGTTAGAAACATTGATCAGCTGCCTCCTGCACACCCCCTAGTGGGGATGTGCCTGCAACCAAGGTACACATGCTCTGGGCTGGAATTAAACCTGGGACCCTTCAGTCCCCAGGCCGATGCTCTATCCACTGAGCCAAACCGGTTAGGGCAGTGTCAAAAACTTTTGTGTCTTAGGGAAGCTTGTGTGGTGATTCAGTCTCTCCATGAGGATGTCAGGTTGTCTGGTTGTAAAGGTTACAGAGCCAGAGGCTAAACATGCCGGCTCACAGGCAGTGTCTACGCTCCCACTTTCTCTTCCTTCTCCACACCTACGCCAGCCTGATGGCTTGGCTCTCTCCTTTACAACTGTCTGGTCATCTGTCCCAGAAAATTGAGTGTTTAGGGACACAAGCATCTGTTGAGAAAGAGGGACAGAAGAATCTCCATGAGCAACAATTAGGTGTGACCCTTAATTGAAAGTGTCACTTCCCTCTACAAAGAAGCACATTCCAGGTGGGAGAGAAACTTATCAACATGCAGAACACTTATCAACATTTGGCAGTAGAAAATGCAGTCTGCTTTTACCAGACAATTAAGTGGGTGGATTGGAGAGGACTTGTAAGAAAGATTGGAGGAAGAGGTGAGGCCTCTGGATGAAGGGACAGTGCATTTACTTGACTTCAATCACCAAAAACAATCTGTATTATAAAAGCCAAAGCGACCGTTAAGGCAGAACGACCTGAATGACCGGTCGCTATAATGCACACTGACCACCAGGGGGCAGATGCTCAACACAGGAGCTGCCCCCTGGTGTCAGTGAGCTCCCACACTGGGAGTGCCACTCAGCCAGAAGCCAGGCTCATGGCTGGCGAGCACAGTGGCAGTGGTGGGATCCTCTCCCACCTCCCCTGCAGGCAGGTCGTAAGGAGCGAGGGGTCCCAGACTGGGAGAGCCCCAGACTGCTAGAGCCTGTTAACCCAATCAGCCAAAACAGCCCCAGACTGGAGATCGGGCTTAAACCAAAAGGCAGACACCACCCGAGGGGTCCCAGACTGCAGGAGGGCACAGGCTGGGTTGAGGGACTCTGCCCCCACCACATGCAAGAATTTCATGCACCGGGCCTCTAGTTGTTTTTATAATAAGTAGACATAAATATACTTGTTTTTTAAAAAGCATGTACTATGCCTCTTTCCCACCCTTGTCTCCCCTTTAGTTTCCCCATGTATCTTTCAAATTAACTTAGCAAAGGAAGGATAAATAAACTGATATATTTTCTGCACAAATGAAAAGATGTGATAGACCTATTTTTCCTCTTTCTTGTTTTATTTAATCATATAAATATAATTTTTCCATTGCTCCTAGGGCAATGGAAACCAAGGAGAAAATAAATAAATGGTACTACATCAAAATAAAAAGCTTCTGCACCATCAACAAAACCATCAACAAAGAAACCATCAACAAAACAACAAGAAAGCCCACTGCATGGGAGAACATATTTGCCAATGCTATTTCAGATAAGGGTTTAATCTCCAAAATTTACAGGGAACTCATACAACTTAACAAAAGGAAGATAAACAGTCCAATCAAAAAATAGGCAAAGGACCTAAGTAGACACTTTTCAAAAGAGGACGTACAGAAGGCCAAGAGACATATGAAAACATACTCAAAGTCACTAATCACCCAAGAAATGGAAATCAAAACAACAATGAGGTACCATCTCACAACTGTCAGAATGGCTATCATCAACAAACCAACAAATGACAAGTGCTGGCGACGGAGAAAAAGGAACCCACCTGCACTGCTGGTGGGAATGCAGACTGGTGCAGCCACTATGGAAGACAGTATGGAGTTTCCTCAAAAAATTAAAAATGGAAATCCCATTCCACCCAGTAATTGCACTTCTGGGAATATATCCCAAAAAGCAGAAATGCCAATCAGAAAGGATATATGTACCCCTATGTTCATAGCACAATTTACAATAGCTAAGATTTGGAAACAGCTTAAGTGCCCATCAGCAGATGAGTGGATTAAAAAACTGTGGTACATGCCCTAACTGGTTTGGCTCAGTGGATAGAGCGTCCACCTGCAGACTGAAAGGTCCTACGTTCGATTCCGGTCAAGGGCATGTACCTTGGTTGTGGGCACATTCCCAGTGGGAGGTGTGCAGGAGGCAGCTGATCAATGTTTCTCTCTCATTGATGTTTCTAACTCTCTGTCCCTCTCCCTTCCTCTCTGTAAAAAATCAATAAAATATATATTTTTTTAAAAACTTTGGTACATACACAATGGATTACTACACTGCTATAAAAAAGAAGGTACTTTAAAAAAAGGCAATGGAAACATATCTTTGGATGAGGATTAAAAAATAAAAATAAATGCTCAACAAGAAAAAAAAAAAAGAATAAACTTTTACCATTTGCAACAGCATGGATGGACCTGAAGAGCATTATGCTAAGCAAAATAAGCCAGTTGGAGAAAGATAAATATCACATGATCTCACTCATATGTGGGATAAAATGAGCAACATAAACTGATGAAGTAAAATAGATCCAGAGACAAAGAAACACTGAACAGACAGTCCAACCTCAGAGAGAAGGCAGGGGAGGGGTAAGAGAGCAACCAAAGGACTTGTATGTATGCACATTAGCATAACCAAAGGACACAGCATAACCAATGAGGCTGTGGGGGTTTGTCCTGACCTAGGGGGTGGGAGTGGCGGAGGAGGATGGGGAAAGGAGACATATGCAATGCTTTAAACAAACAAAAAATTAAATAAATAATTTATGAACCAGTCTCTGCCAAAAACTTTTGCCAAAGAGGTTCAGGAAGTCAGAATGCCTGGATGAGTGAGAAAATAAACAAGGGATGTACTCCCCTTAATAAAAGGCCCACCCACTCCAGGACCCCAAATTGCAGCTTACACCTCACCCACAGCTGTGCCCTCATACTCACCCTCTACCACAGCCATGGCTCAGTCACTGGCTCTGAGCCTCCTTTTCCTGGTCCTGGCCTTCTCCATCCCCTGGACCCAAGGTACAAGGAGGGAGCTGCCTAGGATGGGGACAGGGGCTGGAGAGGCCTGGTCGGGAGCCTATACTTAGCCCCTTGCTCCCTGTGAACACCCTCTGCAGGCAGTGATGGAGGAGCACAGGACTGTTGTCTCAAGTACAGTGTAAGGAAGATTCCTGACACGCTGGTCCGCAGCTACAGGAGGCAGGAGCCAAGCTTGGGCTGCCCCATCCCGGCTATCCTGTGAGTGGGTGCGAGGGCCTGGGTGAAGCTGAGTGGGCTGGGCAAGGTGGGCAAGACGAGGACAGGCTTGCTAATGCCCGACTCCAGGTTCTCACCTCGGAAGCGCTCTCAGGCAGAGCTGTGCGCAGACCCTAAGGAGGCCTGGGTGCAGAGGTTGATGCAGCGTCTGGACACATCACCAGCCCCACGGAAACAAGCCCAACGCTGTAAGAAGGACAAGTCTGGCAAGAAGAGAAAGGGCTCCAAAGGCTGTAAGAGGTAAGGAAGCTGATGGGACTGGGGAGGGAAGTGAAGTAGAGCCTCTGTCAATCCTTCAAGCCCCTCTTCTCCCTTTCCAGGACTGAAGAGTCCCAGACCACCCAAAAGCCATAGCCCAGTGACCAGCCTGGAGCCCAGGGGGCCCCCATCAGCTGCACCAGGGTTCGGAGCCCCTATCCCAGGGGCAAGAAGTGAGCTAGAAGACAGGGAGGACTCAGGGGCCCCCAGAGCAGTCCTTCTACCCCCATGCTGGCCTTGCCTCATCCCTTCTCCTGCTTCAACTAACCCTTCCGTATTTCTAGCCCCTGCCGCATGGCTGAGCTGCCAGGCCCAGAGAGGCAGAGGAGGGAGTGTGAGAGGAGGCAGCAGGACTGTCCCCTCTGAGGAAAGGTCACCCAGGACCCTGGACCTGCCCCCCTGCTCCCCACTGCACCCCACCTCTTCCTTGTAAATATCATTTATACGTAATAAACAGCTGTTCTGGCTTCCCACCCACGTATCTGTTCCTGCACGTTTGTGTCCCTGGGGAAGCCAATGTCACTAAGGGGTGGGAGGTGGGTGGGGGAGTCAGGAGCTCAGACTGGTGAATTGTACATTCTCACCTGCCCAGGAATTTCCTGCTGGCCCAGGTGCCCAGACCTGTGGGCAGTAGAAAGGAAGTTGGCGGGGAGGGTGGGACCTGGGCTGCTCCTGGTCTCTGAGAAATTCCTCTCAAGGAGAGATGGTGAACTGAGAGCACACCCGCAGTGGCACTGCAGACCTCTGAGATCCTAGAGGGATCCCTTCCCTGATCATGAGCAGCGGTCTCTCACCCTCAGCCTTACCCCCACCCCTAGCGGAGACTGCCTTCCCTTTCCTTGGGGCCTGGGGCTCACAAACTTCCAAGTATCTCTTTGTGAGGGTCCCCGGGAGGGAGGCTGGAGCCTGGGCCCACCAATAACACAGGCAAACACAAGTCTACTGAGATCCACCCTAAACAGAGTCCCAGCATTCCCTCCCCCAAACCTGGAAGCCTAAAAACCCAAAAGGACTCCCTTCTGTCCCCATCAATACCGCAGGGTCCCTGTCCTGTCCTCTTTGTTTATTGCAGCTGTGAGCTCTCTATTCCCATCTGGACTTCTTGACTCTCTCAGATTCCTTCCAGTTGGGAGAGTCTCCTCCCCTTCCCTTATGTTCTCCTTTCTCCCCTTTGATCTCTTCACACCAAGGACTAGGTCTCCCAGGGCAGCATTGGGAAACCCCGAATTCAGATGTAAACCAGGCTCCTCTCCCAGAGGCACCTGCCTGGCTCTCCTCCACCTGTTCCTGCCCAGGGAAGAGTGCTCCTGTCCCCCTCACCCCTGATGTAGGAAAGGGAGGACCATCAGAGGGGCCAGACGTGAGGGAAGGTCTCAAGAAAGGGGCGAGAGCTCTGGCCAGTATGGCTCAGTGAGTTGGAGCATTGTCCTGTACATCAAAAGGTCGTGAGTTCAATTTCTGGTCTGGGAAAAATAACCAGGTTGCAGGGTATATATGGGAGGGGTGCATATGGGAGGCAACTGCTGGGTGTTTCTCTTTCTTTCTCTCCCTCTCTCCCTCCCTCCATCTCCCTTCCTCTCCTTCTGAAATTAATAAAAACACATTCTTGGGTGTGGATTTTTTTAAAAAGATTGATTGATTGATTGATTTTTAAGAAAGGGGCAAGAAGCTGGAGGTGGCTGCCCCAACACCTTCTGCTTCCCCCGGAGCCTGAGCATGGCACAGCCCTCACCACTGATCATAACATCTTTTAAAGTGTTTGCTGAGGCAGGTGAAGGCAGGGACTCCTCCCTACCTGTCCTCATACAGCAGGTGTGATCATAGTCTACAAAAACAGATCTGCAAGAATTACTGCATTTTTAAATGATCTTTCTTTTCTTTTTTAAAAATATATTTTATTGATTTTTTACAGAGAGGAAGGGAGAGGGATAGAGAGTCAGAAACATCAATCAGCTGCCTCCTGCACACCCCCTACTGGGGATGTGCCTGCAACCAAGGTACACGCCCTTGACCAGAATCGAACCCGGGACCCTTCAGTCTGCAGGCCGACGCTTCATCCACTGAGCCAAACAGGTCAGGGCTAAACGTTCTTTCAATGAACTTGATTCCTACTCCCAACCCCTGCACCAGAGTGCTGATGAGAAATAGAGCCCGTCTCCGGAGGGCTGTTCAAAAGTCCTAGAAACAAGGTACAAGAGAGGCTTCTTACCTGCCCCTCCCCCATCCTGTCATTGGCCATCAATCTCACCAGTGAATGCTGTGGCCCTTGTCATTCCAGCAGGTCCTGGACTCCCAAACTCTTAGCTCTTTTTTTTTTTTTTTTTTTTTTTTTGAGACTCTGGAATTTGGTCACTGGAATTTGGTTTCCCCAGATACATCCCAGAGCCATCTACTTGGGTCCTGCCACTTGCATCATCACAGGACTAGAGCACATTGCCCACGCTGACCGGACCTCCCATCCCCTCTGCTGTCCTAAAAATCTACAAAACCCTCTCTGACTCCAGCCTCTTCAGGGCATAACCTCTTCCCAGACTTGTTTTCGACTTTTATGAAGATAGAAGGGTCTTTGACATCAGGATGCCTCTTCTCTCAGCCCTGCCAAAACCCTTGCTTGTTTTAAAGAGAAAAGACACACATATGCAGAACAGATAAAACTTTGTATTTCACTAAATTCTCCTGCCACACTTGCATGCCTGGTATTTACCTCAAGCCCTGTCCTGAGCAGGCATACAGTATGTTATTTATGCATCAGAGAATGAGTAGTCACTCTCCTTGTCTGCCTTCCTGTTCTTTCTTCTTTCTGTAAGATGTCTGTATTCCTGTTCTTTCCTCTTTCTGTAAGATGTGTGATTCAAAACACAAAACAAACCAACAAAAAAAACCCACAAATAATATGTACCATTTATTTATATAGTTTATATAGTCGTATAAAGGATTATTCTGAATAGTATCCATTTACTGCAACTTTTAACTCAAAGCTACTTCTTCTAGGAGTTAGTGCTATATGTCTAGACTAGAGGCCCGGTGCACAAAATTCATGCACTCAGGGCGGGGAGTGGGGGTCCCTCAGCCCGGACTGTGCCCTTTCGCAGTCCGACACCCCTTGGGGGGATGTCCGACTGCTGCGCGGAGGCAGGAGAGGCTCCCACCGCCGCCACTACGCTCACCAGCCATAAGCCTGCTTCTGGCTGAGTGTCACTCCCCCTGTGGGAGTGCACTGTCCACCTCGAGGAAGCTCCTTCATTGAGAGTCTGCCCCCTGGTGGTCAGTGCACATCATAGTGACAGGTCGTTTCACTGTTTGGTTGATTTGCATATTAACCTTTTATTATATAGGATACTTTGTTCATACCTCTGTTTCTTTATTTATCTATTTTAAACAGTACCAACTGACTGTTTAGCATAAAGAAAAAAGGAGAGTTAGCTCTCTTACCAACCCTCCTCTCCTGTCACCCTATCCTAAAATATAGTTATACCACTATAATTGGATCATGATCAGAATTTACATTATTATGACCACATAAGTGTTCACTGCAGAGTAGTGTACTACTTTTCTTTCTTTTCTTTTTTGTCGTTGTTGTTAATCCTCAACTGAGGATATTTTTCCATTGATTTTTAGGGAAAATAGAAGAGAGAGAGAAAGACAGAGAGAAACATCGATGCCAAAGTAACACATCGATTGGTTGCCTCCTGCACTAGCCCTGACCAGGGTGCTGGCTGGGGAGGAGCCTGCAACCAAGGTACATACCCTTGACCAGAAGCGAACCCAGGGCCATTTGGTCCGCAGGCTGACACTCTATCCACTGAGCCAAACCGGCGAGGGCCCTTTGCCACTCACCTTTTTATTTTTCTTAAAAGTTCTAATTGTTCTTCCTTTTTAAAAAAATACGTCTATCTGCCATTATCAGGGCCTCAATATTTGTCAAATGCTTCATTATATTGGGATTAAGACTTAATGTTTAAAATACTATGTAACAGAAAAATATAATATGAGTGTGTTTATAACCTTGAGGTAGAAAAGAACTTCTTAAACAAAACGTAAAACCATAAAACATAAATCATAAGGGAAAAGCTCTGGCCAGTGTGGCTCAGTTGGTTGGGTGTCATCCCATGCAACGAAAGATTGCTGGTTTGATTCCTGGTCAGGCCACATGCCTGGGTTTCAGGTTTGATCCCTAGTAGTGGGCATGCAGGAGGCAGCTGATCAATGTTTTGCTCTCACATCAATGTTTCTCTCTCTCTCCCTCTTCTTTCCTCTCTCTCTAAAAGTCAATTTTCAATTGTTAAAAAATATAAATCATAAGGGAAAAGATCAACACCATTAAATTAAAAGACAAGTAGGAGTTCAGGGTAAAGATGAAAAATTAAACACATGCTTATATTCAGTCCTTCCTGAGCCCCAACTAAAACGACAGTAACAGTTTCTCATGTGTGTTTGTGTGTGTAGACATAAATCCACAAGAACCCAAATGGGAGATGAGATAAATGTAACTTTCCAAAAGACTGCTGCTTAGACAAGTAAATATTTCAGTATAAAGCAAAAAAAAAAAAAAAAAGACATTATAAATTTGGAGGACTTCCAATGCCTTGCTCATGCATACAGTAAAAATATTTTACTAAATACTAATGGTTGATCCTTATAATTTTTTCTTTTTACATTTCTAGTAGTATTAACTGCGTTCCTGTTGAACACCAGCGTACTAGTATTTACAACATTAGTAACAAAGAAACAGAATTTCCAGAGGATGAGGCCCAGAAATCAGGATTTTAAAAAGATTCCCAGGTGATTCTAATGTGCAGCCAAGGTTGAGACCCACTGCTTTAAAGGCTTCTTTGATATGAACGTAAGGATGAACCAGGCTACCGAGATCTCCCAGAATTACAGGTCATGGACACACATTCACCTGAGTCATATGAACCTGAAACTAATCCTAAACTAAGCAACCAGATTTCTTAACACTGCTCACCCCACCCTCATAATACCTAGACCACACTTTCATTCTTTACTCAGCAATCCAGCCCTTTAGGACATGATCACCAGTGATAGTTAGGTTCTTTCTTTTAAAAAGTAAAAAAATGGGGACAGTGTGGGACTACCAGCACAGCACCACTGACGTACTTGGCATCTTCTGCCTTTTTTTATGGCACAGGAAGTTCAGGGGGGTGGGGTCTATACATAGTATTTATGGAAACTCAAAATTAATTTGTTTCCTAGCTTTAATCATGTACCTGTGAAATG